TTGATAAGGTTGCCTCCCTTGGTGGAACAAAACAAATAAGTAAGTAAATAAATAAATAACTGCAAGGTTTAATTTCAGTTCCAACAAGTTGACATATCTTATTAAACCTAATATTATCTCCCTGTAAAACAGAGATAATGATACTTAGCTCACCTATTTATTATGAAGATTACACAAAATTTCTGAGATAACCCTGACACATGGTAGGCACTCAAGAAATGTTAGCTTCCTTCTTTTTCTCATGCTGACATAAATAGGAATAAGGTAGCTTCTGATTAAAACAGCTATTAATATAACATGCCTAACATTTTGGGTTTTTTTTTATTGTTTTATTATTCATATGTGCATACAAGGCTTGGGTCATTTCTCCCCCCTGCCCCCACCCCCTCCCTTACCACCCACTCCACCCCCTCCCTCTCCCCCCCACCCCCTCAATACCCAGCAGAAACTTTTGGATAGAGACTAAGCTTTTTGTTGAGTGAGCGATCCTGGCATGTTTTGCTCCATGCTAAGGTATGGTAAGAAGTAATTAACTCTAGAATGTACCTTCCCTGAAGAGGACTTGGGGATGTTTTTGTTGTTGTTCTATTCATTGTAAAATTTTAAAATGTAACAATTGACAGCATTCTTAAGAAGAATAAATCTGAAGTTTATAGTTAGATGGCATTTCTTAAAGAATTTCCACTCAGAAGAAAAAAATTGCCCAGATCCAATGAATTACTCAAAATGAGGTGAATGAATGATAAAACATGTATCAAATGGCTATCAGTACCAGGAATGTCATAGTTCTCATGTGAAACATGCCACACTCACACTCCTGGGCAGAAGTGAGCTGTGTACTTACCTTTGACCTTTTGGAGTACCAGAATCTTGCCTCTAAAATTCAAGTGCACTGAATTTACACTTGTGTCTAAAACACTGCAGAATATAGTTCTGTAACTTGGGACTTCTTAAAGGCAGCAAAAGGAAAAATGCTGAAAATAATTTTGTTCAGATACCATAATAAAAATTGTATGTTTCAATTATATAGTAAATATATTAATTTATAAATTAAGATGCTAACTATATAAGTGATATGCAGGACTGAGGATACTGAGGAGACATTTGTGACCAAAAGACACAGGTGCTTATTGTCAAATAAGGAACACAGACCTTAACAATACAACCAACAAAACTTGTCCTGTACACACACAAAATAGATTGTTACATCAAGTGCTACAAGAAAAATGAGATAACTAAATATCGCGCACATACCCCATTGCAATCCCTCTGAACTATGGAAGTGATTTTCTAAAAAGTTGTACCTGAAGGTAAATGAATAGAAAACATAGAAAGACCAGAGATATGTTCACTTCAGAAAGAATTCTGAGTCTGCATGTCCAGAAATTTAGGAAGAACAAATTTTCAGATGTTTTTAGACCAATTCCCATGGTAGGGGTAGTAACCAACAGGTATTTAAACTAACCTGTCTATGATAAGGTTAGCATTATCTAAAGACACTGAGATTTGGTAGAACATGTTCTGTGTTAGGGAGTATTTTACTCCTTATTCAAAAGAAACACATCTCATGGCAGTGAAGAAAAAAATATATGAAGATACACTACCAGGAGAAATATTGCCAAACTTTAAACTCGAAGTACTTATGGCACAAATACTGTGTACACATGTATGTAAATGGAAAAATGATACCTGTTGAAACTAATCCAGGAATGGGGGAAGGAGGATAAAGGAGAATCGTGGAGAGATGAATCCAAATAGGATATATTTCAAATATCTTAAGAACTTTTTGTAAATTCTACAATATACTCCAATAAAATGTACTCCAACGAAAACATTTTGAAAAAAATACTTGAAGTTTTAATCAAGCATTTGGGTGAGGCTAAAAACAACTTAAATGATATTATTAGAGGAGACTAGGCTGGGAAGTACAATTAACCACTTTCCTTTGACTTCTGACACACTTCCTTCCTAGCTGATCAATATTATGTCTTCTTAACACACCCTCTTCCTCTAATATTCCTTAATGTTGGTGTTAGACCAGACTGCAAGGCTCTGCTCTCATTCTCACTTATGAATTGCCTCATTGGTTTTATATATATTTCCATGTCTTTTTCTTCTAGTTGTAAGAGATGATTCCCACCATGATATCTCTTCTAAGCTTCTGTTTTCATGTTTCATTTGGACAGATATTTCAAACACAACACATCCAAATGAAGCAAGACATCATCCCTCTAAAATGTGACACTTTTCTTTACAGTTCTCATTTTAGTTAATAGTATGCTACTTAACTCAGTTAGAAACTTCCCTCCTTGAATCTCCTGTCTGACAACATCATAATTTCTCTAAGTCCTAGTTCTTAACTGTCCTTACAGTTGATTGTTCTCTCTGGCACAGTGACTAAGATCTTTCTTTATCACCCATGACTGTCCTATTGTGACAGGCTTCTCACTGTTTCCTTCATGTACAGTCTCTACCTGCCATCCCAACTTCCTGCTATTTCTCTCTATCTCTCCATACCACCATCAGTCCTAGCCTATGGAGAGCTTTTGATATGGTTAGGGTTATCTCTGCATCTGAGTTGCCAACCACTGACAAAGAACAAGTTGTACAGTCACTGAGGTTGCGTATTGGAAATTAAGTTCCTTTGCGCCATCACAATGCACTGACTCAAACTCTGAGTTTAGACCCTTGAATTGTATTTTTGTATGCTTACCAAATGATTATGATGTACATCTATTTTTGGAAAGTCTCAAGCTGTTATTCAGTTAAAAGATTCAGTGATGACAACACTTTAATAAGAGTCTAATTTGGTATTCAGAAAGAATGGTTACAAAAGTACTTCTTGCAATGATGGCATCATAAACTAAACTAGAGCTTTCTGAGTGGTTCCCATTAAATGAAAAAAACATTCATTTGAATATATGAATTCTGTTTAATTTGTGAAAATAATCACATCACATTGGAGGCATGCCTCATGAATATTTTTATAACACGCATATCTAATGAGTTGTCTTTAGTTTCACACATGATATTAATGGATTACACATGAAGAGTGCAAGAATATAGCTGACATTAAAATAGTGAAGAATATCCTCCTATGAAAAGCATTTAGAAATTATCATGCTAATTATATTTAGATTAAAAGAAAGATAGTAGAACAGGAAAAACAGGATAAAAGTAATACCCTTAAAGTAAACATTTATAGTTTTTCCACTGATTCTGTTAACTAATGAAAAGATTCCTTCCTCATATACCACACAGCATGTTTCCTGTATCAGTAAGTTCTATGGAACTTTGCTGATCCTCAGCAAAAGATCTTCAACGTTAGTCCCCTTCTTATGGTGATTACAACGGGTTTAAAAATTTTGTAGTCATTCTTGTATAGGAAGTACATTAACCATATTCACCTTCGTAGCTTCCTTCTTTTACCACTCCTTCTCTCACATGTGCTGAGGATAAAGGGGAAATGGGTATTTGCAGGCAATTAGTAATCTTTGCCATAGTCCTCAAATGTTCAACATTCCAGATTACTTGATTCCTTGCCTATTCACTCAGTGAAGTTTTCTCAATTCAGCTTTAAAAAAAAAGAAAACGAAAGAAACAAATGTCTAATTGATGGGAATAATCCTCCTAGAACAGTGGTTCTCAACTTTTAGTTTCACACTAGAAGCACTTGTAGTGGCCTTAACTATTCTGACACTAGGCAATGCCTAGGCCAATTAGAAATTCTAGAAGTGAGATCCAGAACTCAGGATTTAAAAAATATGCAGGTGTATGCATGATTCCAGTGCAGCTACGTTTGAGAACTGTTGTCCTAATGAAATATAAAAAAGAAGAAAGGTAACCCAAATGGTGCTGTATTCTGTCACTTTTTTTGTTACATAACCAAGTGATATATAAACATCTCCATGCTATGAGCAGCCAATAACTTTGGGAGAGGAGGGACTTCCAATGCCAGCCAGTTGTCTACATTCTGGTGCTCTTTTCCTAGAAAAGCTACCAACCACAAGGTTCTCTGAAAATTCTAACTTTCTTTTCCAGTGTAGGGCATCTTTGATAACTTAATTTTTCCATAGTGCCACATCCATTCAAACATTCCTCCATATGGCTCTAAAATAATGCTCAACTGTGTCCATACCTTTATCACATCAAAAATCCACACAGTAACCAAAGGGATCTTTAAAATACCCCCCACATGGGGCTGTGCGTGGTAGTAGTACATGACTGCGATCCTAGCTACTAAAGAGGAGGAAACAGGAGGATCATGGTCTGAGGCCTGCCCAGGTGAAGTTAGTGGGAGACTCTCTCTGAAAAGCAGACGAAAAGCAAAAATACTGGGGGGAAAGGCCCAAATGTGAGCTTAATCCCTAGTTCTCCAAAATAAAATGAAATACACTCACACAAATCTGATCATATCATTCCTCTATATAATTCCCCACAGAACTCCCTGTTAACCCAGAACTCTCTGACCTACAAGATCCACCCTGCCCGACCCCTTCCAGCCCCATCCTAGGACACTCATCAGACTATTGTACAGTGGCCTCCTTTCATTCCTCTTTTTCTTATGGTTCATTTTTCTTTTCTAGGCCCATTGAATCCCACAATCAGGTAAATCCACCTATTCATTTGCTAATTCTTATTGTAGAAGGCCTTGGCTGCTCTATCAGCCTGGGTCAGAACCAATGCCATACTTCTTCCTGGCTGTCATCACATGTATAAGTAATTGTTTAAAAGACACTACTTATTCTTATGTAAACAGGAAGCATGTTTATCATTATCTTGTTTCAGAATCTAGAGCAGTTCCCATCACAGAGTATATACTCAATAACATGTAGATTTTCTGAATGACATTTTGAAGGTTTGAACAGTACAGGACAAGGAGATTAGAAAGGTAGATGGGAGACAAACTGAAATGGTCATAAGCAACTGCTTGTAATTTAGGGATTTGTGAACCAAGTCAATTTCTCTCCCTCTTTTTCAATATGTCTGTGTCTCTGCAGGTTGTGATTTGATCCCAGTTCAGTACCTCCGCTGGGGGGACCCTGAGCCCATTGCAGCAGTGGTGTTTGCCTGCCTGGGCCTACTGGCCACCTTGTTTGTCACTGTAGTCTTCATCATTTATCGTGATACTCCAGTAGTCAAGTCCTCCAGCCGGGAACTCTGCTACATTATTCTCGCTGGCATCTGCCTGGGCTATTTATGTACTTTCTGCCTCATTGCAAAGCCTAAACGGATTTATTGCTATCTTCAGAGAACTGGCATTGGGCTCTCTCCAGCCATGAGCTACTCAGCCCTGGTAACCAAGACCAACCGTATTGCAAGAATCCTGGCCGGCAGTAAGAAGAAGATCTGCACCAAAAAGCCCAGATTCATGAGTGCCTGTGCCCAGTTGGTGATTGCTTTCATTCTCATATGTATCCAGTTAGGCATCATTGCGGCCCTTTTCATAATGGAGCCTCCTGATATAATGCATGACTACCCAAGCATTCGGGAAGTCTACCTGATTTGTAACACCACCAACCTAGGAGTTGTCACGCCTCTGGGATACAATGGCTTGCTAATTTTGAGCTGCACCTTCTATGCGTTCAAGACCAGAAATGTTCCAGCCAACTTCAACGAAGCCAAGTATATCGCCTTCACGATGTACACCACCTGCATTATATGGTTGGCCTTTGTACCAATCTACTTTGGCAGCAACTACAAAATCATCACCATGTGTTTCTCCGTCAGCCTCAGTGCGACAGTGGCCCTAGGCTGCATGTTTGTACCGAAGGTGTACATCATCCTGGCCAAACCAGAAAGAAATGTGCGCAGCGCCTTCACCACGTCCACGGTGGTGCGCATGCATGTAGGAGACGGCAAGTCCTCCTCTGCAGCCAGCAGATCCAGCAGCCTAGTCAACCTGTGGAAGAGGAGGGGCTCCTCTGGGGAAACCCTAAGGTAAAAGTTCTGGGGAATTGTGGGGCAAAGCTAAAGCAGTGGTATCTCTTCCTTGAAGTGAGAGAGATTCCAGTGAAGGAAGCTATGGGAGGTGGGATGCCTCGGGGCTTTGGACCTTCTCCTGCGTGGTTTTTGTGGGGTTATTTGGTATGGGTCCACTTATTTAAGCCAAGACTACAAACACGGAACTCCTGATCACTGATAAAGAAAGCAGTTATCTCAAAGGGGGAGTGACATTAGACGGACAGGAGAATAGAGTTAAATCCTTGAGCCAAGGCAGAGACTTTCAGGTCCCCAGGAGACAAGGAGGTTTTGAGGGCTAAGTTTTAGTCATGACTGATCCCACACTTTAAAAGACATTGAGATCATATTACCTGTGGCTTGCAAACAAATTCTGAGTCATTAAAAGGGCTACATAGATTGTAATTAATTGGAAATATAAGATGGTGTTATTTCATAAATCCATGGATTGAAAATAAAGATTTCCTCTGTCTAGGGAGTACATATCAAAAGAGCCAGTCAGGGCATCAGCCCTATAAAATCTACTGATATTTTGCAGCATTTCTAGAAGCTAGATAAATAAATGGAAGGTAAATATCTTTCAAAAGTAAGAGAAATATCTTTAAAATGGAGGATACCTATCTTTCAAGTGGGAGGTGAATATCTAAATAATATTGCTTGAACTATTCTTCTATGCTGTCATTTAGCCTGCCTGAAAGTTCTACTTTTCTGCCAGCACTCCTTCTTCAAAGCATGAATTATGGTGATGATAAAGATACATACTATATCTGCTGGGGTTTAAAAGGACTCATATTATACTTGAAGTTTAGTCAAAAGGCCTAACTCATTTGCATTATTAACTTGCACCCTTACCTTATTCAGGTCTTTTCTAATTCTTTTACACATCTCATCTCTTTCTATGTACATTGTGCAAGATACTCAACAATTTGTAAATTTTGTCTGTCCCATCTTCTATAAATACCAGCTATGTCGTGGTTTGTACACAGAAGAACTTCTGTATATCTAAACTGCTGGCATATTTTCCATCTGCTTTCCTGAAACTCTTTTTCTGAAACTTCTGCGAGATCGGCTCTTCATTTTGGCTAAGAAAATTTATTTTGCAGACTTTTATTTTATCAGCCTTTTTTCAAACCTTTTCTTCAAATAATACCTTCCAGGGAAGCCTGATATATAAAACAGACAAGTTGATATAAGGAGCAAATTCCCAATCTATGTCTAAGCACCCCCAAATCTCACAAGGAAATGCTCCTTTGAGAGACAGCATAGAGTAAGAGGTAAAGAACAGTGGTTTAGGGGGCTGGTGGAGTGGCTCAAGTGGTAAGAGTGCCTGCCTAACAAGCATGAGCCCTGAGTTCAAACCCCAGTGATGCTAAAAGGGGAAAAAAAAAACACTGGTTTGTAACTATGTTGCCCTTAGTCTAAACACTGGAACTGCTATTTTATCTGTACCTTATTTTTCTCATCTGACAAATTGTGATCTCATCACCTACTTCACAAGACTGTAAGGAATGAAGACATTTACCTTCATTCAGGCTGGATACATAGTGGACACTTTAGTCAAGGTCATGCTAAACAGTCATGGAATTAAATCCTGGCAGCATCAGTTCCAGCAACTTCACAACACCTCTCTGTAGTTCAATTCCCACCTCTAATAAAATACATAGTATCTGTATTTGTCATTTTGATTAGCTAAACAATTGTCGGTCTTGTTCTGCATCTAAAAGTCACTGTTATTTATGTAATCAGGATGATATTAATATAAAAAGAGCACCGTAAAAGTCAGTACAAATCTATAGAGACATTGCTCTAGCGACATTTGATTAATATGTTCATCTATTCCATATCTACTTTGCTTTAAAAGGGGGAAACCAAAAACAAATTTTCCTGATAGTGTTGATAGGAAACAAAAATTCTGGGGACTTTATTGCAATGTATTAACTTGCTTTCCACTTAGGGCCGTGAAGTTCTTGGTGCTTGGATTTTGTAGTCAGTAGATTTGGGTATTAGGTTGTTAAAAAGGGGGATTGGGCAGTTACTGGGTTTTTTTTTTTTAATGCAACCTTGAACAAAGCTAAGTCTCTGTGATCATAGCTGAGGCAGGCCACAGTTTAATTATACAGAAACTTCTTTTTCACCATCAACAAGAATATATGAGCTGGAACCTGCTATTGATGTGGAGAAGAAAAATATGGTAGAGAAAGCTGTCATTCTCTTGGATCACATCCCATCTTTGCTCTTCCATTTGAAGCCATCATCCCCAGGGAGAGATGCAAACTAAAACTCCTTTTCTCTGTGGCTTCTATCATCTCCTAAACTAAGTATTTATTCTCTATGATATAAAATCAAGATGTTTAAAGTACTAACCTATATTTATATGATCATAGTACATATGTGATTGCTCCCCAATTCATAATTCCATAAAGACCATGTGCTCAGATTGTCGCACTTGAGCATAAATAATGGGGAACAAATAAACTTGAGTGTTTATAATGTTTTTACATTTCATTCTAAATTACTGCCATTAGTTGTGCTTCTTGGGCTTGCACTCTGTAATGTGACAGCAAGCCCATCTACAGGAATGTGAGAAGGGTTTAAACAGGTAACCTTAAATCTCTGGATGTAAGTCTTTAAGAATAAGGACTTCCCATGCTGAGCCAAATCCTGCTCTACTTCCTTCCCTCTACTGTGTGGAAAAGCAGGATGCTATCCACCAAGACTAGGTTGGCTCTGGGTCTTGTTTCCGTTTGAGGTCTGTACATGTCCCTTTGTCATCAAGTGGAGAAAGCAATGGACACCTCTCCATTTTAAAGAGGACACTAATGGCATACCTTAGAGTGAAATACGTAATCATACCTCTAAGGGCACAGTGATTATGTTTACAAAAGTTCATGTATACTCTTGGAGAAATGCACACAGAGAGAAAATTGATGTAAATGCAGCAGCCTGTTGGAGCCACACCTGGATTTAAATCCTGCAGAGTAAATTTGAACAAAGAGCTTTAGTCTGATTCCTCAACTGTGAGATAGTAAATAATTCCTAGGGGTAAATGAGGTTATATAAGTTAAATGCTTAGTACCAGCACACAGAAAGCACCCAATAAATGGTGGTTAAACTTTTTGGAATTTGGTTTAGCTGCAAGTAACAGAACGTCTATTTTCAGAAGTTTATACTATTTGTTTCAGCCTTATTTTCCTCATGTTTTAAGAAGTTTGGAGGTTTCTCATGATGCTGGTTCAGTGATCCCCTGCCAGCACCTCTTGTCTTCTCCAGGCATTTTACCAATGTTTGCAAAAGAGCTGTCATAACCCCAGAATTGCATCATTACACTAGAGAAAACAAAAGTCTTCTCAGAGTCCTATAAGAATCATTGTTGCATTGGCCCAAACTGTCTCATACTGTGGCAATAATATAGGAACGTGTAAATTTATCCTTGCTGGACTCTATGATAGAAATGAATGAGAAGGGGGACCACTATTCACTCTATAAACCAACAAATCATTACTCCCGTAGATGATAGCACCTGGTAGTAATAGTGGTTTACAGAAGTGGGGAGGGAGGAGAGTAAGGAAGAAGTAGAGAACAGACACAAAAGAGATTGAAAAAAATCAGAATTATTGCCCCAATAGTGTATTTACTACCCACCTTATAAAACTCTTCATATTCGTTAATAGTCTAGTGTTTGTAGTTGTCAAAAAATATTGCAAGTAGAAGCAATCACCCTTCCCATTTTTCAGATGAATAATTTGAGGTCCATAATCTTCTGACTAATAAGCAATAAAATTTTTAATTCAAGTCTTAGCTTATGGTCACTTACGTGGCTGACATGTCCAACCATATTCCCTTTGGAAGATGTTTCACAAATTTCTATGTGAGAAAGAATCTATTTTGTCAACCAAAGGCTTGAGAAAAAGCTCTAATATATTCTTTTACTGGTGATAAAGACTGAGAAGTCTTGCAGTTTTGAAACCAATCATTCATTTATTAGCTCTTTCCAATCATTTCCTACTTTTATTTTGCACAGGACCATTTTTCTCAAGTAACCTTCTGAACATCATGAAGAACTGATGCCCTAAGGGGCTCACGTTAGAAAACATAATTGCAGCCCAAACTGATCACATGTGTGGGATACCTGAAGAGTAGTTCGTATTTGGTGAGAATGTAGGACCAAGGGAGACAATGTCTGCCTCTGCTCGTAGAATGACTGGAATGACTTTGAGATCTCTGAGCACCTAAGGAAAGAAGAGAGCTAATCCTAACATATCTAGCAGTTTTCTGGGAAGTTAATTTGGCTCACCCAAGAGTATAAAGAAAAGTATTTCAATTCACTGAAATAGCAAACGGAGATTTTTATTTAAATGCGAATGAGTCACTATAGATTTTTTTATATAGAAACATCTATTTATGCCATCAATGTATAGAGGTCCCCGTGATTAACACTTTGGTTTTAGACACTAATTCCCAGCACAACATGGTGCAGTGTCAAATCATTGTCAAGCAGATAATGCCTGGCTTCCATTTAAGGCCTTCACTTCAGCTGCAAATTGGCAGATGAACACAAACCCAATTCTGACCTAAATAAACCATTGAATCTGATGAGACAAAGTTCTGGTTCTGCAAGATTCAAACTTTCCAGGGGCAAGGGCAATGAGCCTTTCATGCCTAAAGTAGTAACAAAGGCCTGTCGCTTGAAATTATAAATTTTCTCAGAAGGTGAAACCTTCTCTTGAAATTCTAGTCAGGTGTTAGAATCATTAGTGTTGTTGCCTTCACTTTCACTTAATTTTAGAAACTATCATTTGCCACTTTTGTTTTAATTAACTAATTAAGTTTGTTTAATTAACATCATCGTGAGACTCACTTAGGTTATCTACTAAAACAACTGCTAGCCCTTCCATAGGCATTCACCAAATTGTATGTCTGGAAAATAGGTTCTCTTATGTGAGTTCTAAAATTCCCTAACCATTATAAGAGCTTTCATA